GTTTAGTGATATTTGCGGTCTTGACTGGTCTTGAAATAAAATGCTGATTCCTCGGCGCCCGAGACAAGACCGAGACCATCAAAAAATGATCTCGAGACCAAGACCGATCTCGAGTACTACAACACTGACTTGTACCAATGATAGTTTAGGAGTCAGTACATTTGGTCATAGCTGCATTAAGTTTGAAAATAAAATGCACATGTAGCATCTATTAAATGACATAACATAGAACCTTCTTTTTTGAGATATTGTAATTGTGAACTGTGTGACACTGCATTCTCATTGTAAGTCTGGTCTTATCACAATGGTGTCATTTAGAGTTTAATGTCCACTTACGCTTTGTGTGGCATGCATTGATAATAAACTGCAAATTACATGAGCAAATTTCATTTCATCAGTCTTTATTTATATATAGTATGTGAATGAAAGTACTCTTACTGTATTTTCATTGTCATAATCAGTGGACCCCTTACAGATAGCCTTGCCCCCCCCTCCCCAGCGATAAAAGTCTAGCTCCGCCACTGTTCCCTGCTCACAGAAACACCCCATAACTGTGCGTGAGGTTGGTGTGTGCGGAGGATGGATGGAGGCGGTGCTCTACAGGCAGCAGAAGGCAGGCAGCGGGCTGGGCAGGGCGGCTCCAGAGACCGCAGTCAGTGAGCGCAGCGGCGGAGAAACATCCAGCTAGAGGAAGGGAGACAGACACGGAGGAGCAACACGAGAACTGCTGACGGGGTCACCGTGACACCGCCTGTGAACAGCGGGGAGACACACCGGCGTTTTTATTCCATGTATTTTTAGACGCTGGTGAGTGTTATTGTTTTTCGTGTTGCTGGTGCTTGGAGCTGTCACCCCGCCCGCCCGGCCAGCTAACTAGCGGATGATGCCTCTCCCCTCCTCGGCCCTGGCTAGCTCCCCTCCTACCGCTGGTTAAATTAGTCAGCTTTGTATGAGCCCTGACAGTAACTAGCCATTTGATGGTTCTGCTCTAATCCTGCGGCTAAATTCAGGGCCCGTATAGAGCTAACAAGCAACTTAAGCTTCTTATGCTGTTTGACTCTGTGGCTTAATGCTTGTTATTGGCTAACCATTGGCTAGCTTAGCAGAACTGTTGGCTCTTGTTTCATTGGGTCCAGGCTTTCTGACAGGAGCTTGTTCTTTAATGACAGCTCACACACATTGTTCCTTTTAATCAAAACAACATTATTGTATGCTGTGTCATAGAGATTTTTATGGTTTGACTCCTTAAAATTGTATGTGGCAACAAGTATCTTGGTTTACATCCAGAATAAGCAACACTTAAGTCCAACACTCTGTCTGTTCAGGATGATGATCCCATGAAGGGAAATGGCACCAACACGAGTGCCAGTTCATTTCCATAAAGCTAATTTACCTGAATCACAAATCAGGACAGCCTGCTTAGCCGTCTAGAGCACCTTGAAATAAAGCTGTGCCGCTCTTTGATACAGGTTGGAAAACTTCTGATGAGCACACAGATTCAGTCATGTTATGTTTGTTTTTTATTTCACTCAGGGCTTTGGCGAAGGGCTTCCACTACATGTTTCCATATTTTTTTTTTTTATGTTGGATGAGTCAAATAAAAATGTAAGGTGTACATACATTAGTTCTACGTTTTTTTGAAATGATGCCTCTTAAGTTTTTTTGCAAGCTTTGCGCGTATCATGAGTGAAACATTTAACCCATTTTATGTATTGTAACAGAGTAAAGATGTTGCCACTTATTCTCAGTTATTGGTTGAGTAATGATTGCAGTTTTATTTCCAATCACTGATCTATAAAATGCTTGACCTGCTTTTTAAAAAAATCTTTTTTTGTTTTTCTTTGTGTGGGTTTGTTTTTCATAACTGTCAGGTCTTATAAGGTCAGAAATACAACTTCAATGTTCCAATCTGATTTCATAATAAAAAAAAAAACATTGGACAGTACTTGTGAAACAATACTAACTTGTTTCAATTTCACATATGGTAGTGCTCTTAAATATAAAGAGGTAGAGGTAAGTTTGGTCTCACATATGTAAACGTCAGGCAGTCTCTCAAAATTAAGAAAATCAACCTGCCCCTAATTGTAGGCCAGGACTTTGACTGGACCATTCTAACACATGGATATGTTTTGATTTAAACCTGGGCGGTGAACTTCGACCTGGTCGACAGTGACATGAGCGTCCAACAAGTTTTCGATCCCATCCATCTCTTATGATCAAAGAACTTCAGTTTCCTTTCTCCTTACAATTATGCATTACTTTGTGTTGTTTTTGACATTAAGTCCCAATAAGATGCATGTAGGTTTTAATGTGACAAGCTGGAAAGCTGAAAGGATGTGAATCCCGTCCCAAGGTACTCTAAATACGGACTTTTACTCGCATTCAACCACTCAACATGTGTCACTGCTATTGTTCTGCTCAGCTCAACTATCTTTTATCTTGTTCTTTGACTTGAAAACTTGACTTGAATGAACACTAATCAGCACGATTTCCTCAGTTCGTCTTGTAAATGTGCCAAATTTAGGCATGTAGGCTCATTTCTTTTATTTGTGGTCACTGTGTAGAAGTTGATGAGTAAACTGTAAAAACGGTAACTAAAATTAGATCATCTTGTTACAAATGAAGCACGATCTCAGTACATTTGATCAATTAAAACCACCGCTACTCTTAAAGCAGCTTGACAAATTGGCATAATTACAGCCTCTGTTTTCCAAATGGAAAAACACAATTATAAGATGAAATGATCCTCAGCTCTGTGGGCATTTAAAGGATGAACTGTGTCTAAGTGCAAATATTTTTATTGGGATTTTACATTTTGCTGTGGTTGAAGTACAGAGTGGCAGTATTTATTTTGTTTAGTTTAATTTATGGCTGCATAAAGATACAATGGCCTATGAAGTAATAATCAGTGTGGTTAAAACCCATCATCCATCCACAAAAAAATGTCAGATTAGTATGTAAATAACAAACTGAGCAGAAAAATACCTTGTAAATAACAGATTGTGTGGTTGTTTTAAATCTAGAGATGTTTAGATGTGTGTTAGACGTGTTGATTTGTTGCTGCGTCAGGAGCCGCCATCTTGCCAGTTCTGGGTTCAGAATCTCAATGAAACACATTTTGCTTTGTCTGGTTTGAGTAACAAAAGACAACAGTTTTATATATATATATATATATATATATATAATTTTTTTTTTTTTTTTGCATTTTTGTTCGTCTTGCATGTTTCATATCATCAAACAAATCTAGGTATAAAACAAATGTAACACAAATGAATACCAAAACCCACAACAATTTGATCCTGACACATGATGATTCATGAGCAATTAGCCGTTCAACCCAAACCGGCTCCGTATGAAAATTTAATTTACCTGCTTGTTAAATCATTAAGTAGGAGTAACCACATCTTTTGGTTTACTTTTGCTCTCATAGTCAAACAGTAATCCAGGCTTGATTACTGCTTGACCTGCAGAATCTAGAAATTCTTTGAGTAGAACCAGTCTGAAAACAGGAAGTAGGGTTAGATCTCAAAAAGCAACTCTTCACATAGAGCAATTTTTTTCATATGGCCTGGTGAGTTTGGATCCTTTTTATTCCCCTTAATGTCTGATTTTTTTAAAATTATTTTTTAAATTCAAAACTACATTTTGGAATTACTATAATTATCTTTATTTGTATGTGAGGCAACTGACTGTTCACAGTATTGCACCACCAGATAAAAACATGTTGTTTTCTACAATGATTCTGATCAGATTTGCTTACAAATTTAATTTTTTTTACTCATTTATCTGCCTGACATCACAGTTTGCAACTCATTAAACCATCTCCAGCTTGCATTGTGCCAGTCGTCTCCATTTGGAGACTTTACTCTAAGACAGCAGGTTTTATTTTATATTATCGTTTTTTGTCCTTTTTTGTGAAATGGTTTACTGTAAGCTGTTCCCTTGACAAGGCCATTGCTCCTAAAATGGAGATGACGTCTAAAAAACTAGCTGACTTTACTGCACATTTAGTCACTTTTTCAAATGGAAAAACTACTGCACATTTATTTAAACCTTTACAGTGACGTGTGATGGTGTTTAGGTCTGGCTGACTGTGCACGCTTACATAATGATGCTTAAGTTATAAGATGTTCTCAACAGAGAGCTAAAGTGGCAGAAGACAGATGGTTGTCTTGATAAAAGTTAATGAATATAATGCAGTTTTAATGAGTCACTTTTCTCTTCCTAACTTGTTTTCCCCTGGCCTGCTGCAGTCAGGCTGTTGTTTTGCCTAACTTCTTCAAGTTCTAAACACACATATATATATATATATATCACACAGCTGAGATGTTGGCTGCTTCCCTGGTCTTTTGTGTTTAGCTTCCCTGCTCCTGTCCCTCCAGCGTGATCACCATGACGGCTGAAGAAACCATAAATGTGAAGGAGGTGGAGATCATCAAGGTGATCCTGGACTTCCTCCACTCCAGGAAGCTGCACATCAGCATGCTCGCTCTGGAAAAGGAGAGCGGCGTCATCAATGGCCTCTACTCAGACGACATGTTGTTCCTCAGGTAAATCAGCTCCACACCGGTTATGTATGTCCAACGTTTCTGACTCCATCTGCTACATTCAGCACTGTGTTGCACTGGAGACCTGCATCAAACTGGACATCTGCCAACATGTCTTACTGTTGAATACATTTTTGAGAAAATTCCCTTCTAGTGTGAGTCGTTTCTCTTTCGCCTAATTTGGTCTTTTTAAAACTTTCCTTGAGAAATATAAGTTTATAGAGATGAATGTCAAAAAAAAAAAGAAGTTATTTTCTGCAGATTTTCTTTCCACAACAGAGCTAAAAATGGGGAAACTGTTTGGTTTTGTTTCAGGCAGCTGATCCTTGATGGCCAGTGGGATGAGGTCCTGCAGTTCATCCAGCCTCTTGAGTGCATGGACAAGTTTGACAGGAAAAGGTGAGCCAGTCAGGTTTTTAATGTCTCCAGTTTGACCCTTTTTGATATTTTGGGTTGGTTTTTGATGAAGTTGTGTACAGTTATTATACATCTTTGTCATGTGAATATAAAATGCGGAAACATTCTCCTCAGGTTTCGTTACATCATCCTGAAGCAGAAGTTTCTGGAGGCTCTGTGTGTGAATAACGCCATGTCCGCTGAGGACGAGCCACAGCATGTAAGTCCAAATCTGGAGCCAGATTACAATTTAAAGAACCTTCCACACTTACTGGCACTGCTGGTAAGGATGTGTAAAATAATCTTTTATTGAAGTTGCATAATCTCTTATAGGAAAAAAAAAAATACAAGTTTGTACATTTATAACAAAACCCTCTAAATATCAAAAGGTTTCCATTTACTAACGGTTTGCAAGTTTTTTTTTTCTCTCGGTTGTTACAAGGATAAATATTTGCAATAAAACTGCTGACAGCTCCCAGATTTAAATCTAAAGTGATGCCAAAACGTGTGGTGTCATGTGTTTGTTGCTTTGGTCTTGCTGCTGAGTAGCGCGTGTTTCTTGTTGCTAGATGGAGTTCACCATGCAGGAAGCGGTGAAGTGCCTCCACGCTCTGGAAGAGTTCTGCCCGTCCAAAGATGACTACAGCAAACTGTGTCTGCTGCTAACGCTGCCTCGCCTCACAAACCACGCTGAGTTCAAGGTGGGAGTTTTAGGCTGTTTTCACACCCGGTGGTCCACTAGACTCGGTTTGGTTGAGGTCCAAAGTTGCAACAAGAGTGAAATCCAAACAAAAATGTAAATTTTAGTGGTTGTAGGATTCCTCATTTTGGTTTTTTTGGCCAAAGACTGAGAGGCATTTTTTCACTACAGCAAGACTCGCTCTTTTGTTTTGGTTGTTTTCACCCAGAATGCCTTGCGGTATAGTTTGCTTCCTGCTTTTGGAGCAGACTCCGGTCCACTCTGCATTCACATTTGCATTCAAACAACACCAGAGTTCACTTGAACTGAACTGAGACCCAGGTTTTTAAGTGGACCAGATTTAGCTTTTTTGGTCCACATCAGAGTTCAGTTGCTCATTCGCTCCTCCCCAAATGAACTGGACTTTCTGGGAAAATGAACCAGAGTTCAGCTAAAGAGGAACTAGTAGGGCTGGTGGGAAGACACTCGTATTTCTACAGATTAAGACTTACAAAATGTTACAGCTACATCTTGTTTGTTATGTATTGGGAATAAATGACCTTTGAACTTGTTTCTTTGGACTAAAATACCTTTTTTTTTTTTTTTTTCCTCCCCTCAGGACTGGAATCCCAGCACAGCCAGAGTGCAGTGTTTTGAGGAGGCCTGCAACATGGTGGCCGAGTTTATTCCCGCAGACAGGAAGCTGAGTGAAGCCGGCTTTAAGGCCAGCGGGGATCGCCTCTTTCAGCTGCTTCTCAAAGGAGTCCTGTACGAATGCTGTGTGGAGTTCTGCCAGGTGGGAACTACTGAAGATGTACGCTGGACTGAGTTGTTGGCATAATTCTGTTTACAATCATTAACATTCAGGCTTTTTTTTTTTTTTGTCATGTGCAGAGCAAGGCAACAGGCGAGGAGATAACAGAGAGCGAGGTCCTTCTGGGTGTCGACATGCTGTGCGGTAACGGCTGCGACGATCTGGACCTGTCGCTGCTCTCCTGGATGCAGAACCTCTCCCACAGCGTTTTCACCTGCGCCTTCGAACAGAAGCAGCTCAACATCCACGTCGACCGCCTGGTCAAGCCGGCTAAGACCGGCTACGCCGACCTGCTCACCCCGCTCATCAGCAAACTCTCCCCGTACCCTTCCTCTCCGCTTCGGCGCCCTCAGTCCGCAGACACCTACATGACCCGGTCCTTGAACCCAGCCCTGGACGGGTTGTCCTACGGCTTGTCGGGCCAGGATAAGAGGGCGAGTGGTGGGGAGATTGTGCCAGGGAAAGGGGTCTCTCCCATGTCTCACTCCTTTGCAAACTTCCACTATCCAGGAGTGGGAGGACAGAACCTGAGCAGGAGTCTGATGATGGAAAGCTCCGACTGCCACAGCATCTTCGAGGAATCGCCCGAAACGTAAGAAACCTGGTTATCAGAATCTGACGATTTTAGGCCAGAACGGCCGTGATCTGTGATGTGCCAGACAGAAACTAAAAATCCAGTCTTTTTCCAGCCAGTGAACACACTGTAGCTAGAAAATAATTGATTGGAAGTTATTAAATCAAGAAGACTTTAAGTAAGCTCTCGTCAGCAAGAGACGGACGTTTAAAAAGGAAATGAGAGGAAGCAGAAAAGCTGTCAGCAGCTTCAGTGAAAGATGAAATGACAAACCTGGACAAATAAAATAGACTTCGACTTTTAAATGCGTTGACTCTGCATTATAATGACAATGCTTCTATGCTAAGAGTTGTTAAAGGCTTGTCGTTTTTCTACATGGGGAAATCTGTGTTCTTCGACATTTAGATGATTTCTCTACTAGGAACCAAAAGGAAACCAACAATAATGTTTATACTTCCTAAAGCAAAATCACAATTGGCTAAATTCAGAATTCATAGGCTTTTAGTGTTAGAAAGTTGAAGATCTGTACAAAAACAGGGTTTCATGAAAGTGTAAAAATATGTGATATTGTTGGCAAGTGTTGCCACAGTGACAGGATCTAAAAATATTTATCTCAACAGTGTTGATGTGTTTCTGTTTTGGGATCATGGCAAACACAAGACATGCAGTTTAATGACTTAATCAACCATTTTCATGCTGCAATAAACAAGCATCGCTAAAATCTATTATTAGCATACACAGCTTAAATGCATGATATTTACTGAATACTTATTTCAGTTCAAGCTGTTTTTTGCGATTACATATATTGCTACGTCTCTAAATTTGCTAAATATTTCGCTGCCAGAGCCATTGGTCCCTACAAATATCTGTCAGGGGGAAAAAAAGCATTTTTGTTGTGATTATTTGGGGATTTACTAAACCGGTGATTCCGGGTTTTAGCAGACGTTCTAACGCTGCGGTCTTTTTTTGCGTGTGCAGATCCAGAACCGACACACCCGTAGATAAGATGTTGAGCTCTGGTGCGGCTCCGAACGCGCGGCCCGACTCGGCTCCGGGCGAGGACGCGCCGACGGCTGAATCTGCTGATAGGAATGAGGTGAACGTTTGTCCTGCCGAATAATTTGTTTTTACTTATTCCATGGATGAGTTCTGCCCGCAGTGACGCTGTCGGTTCTGATTAATCTGAATCGATCTACGTTAGCGTCTCTGACGCCGACGAAGAGGGAAGTTCATCCAGCATAATGAGGATGCATCTATTTGCTACGAAACTGTGTGAAAACTGACTAAATCAACAAAAAGATTACCATCGCATCTGGTAGTAACTTGTCTGTGTCTCAAAGATGTAATATTTTAGACTTTGATGAAAAATCAACGAAGTGTTTCAACCTGTTTAGCTAGTAAATAATGAGCGTAATGAGGCTGCATGTCAGTAGGGATCAGCGACTCAGTGGCTGAGCTACATAAAATGGGTCATCTATGCCCTTGTGTCGGCTTCAAATGAGGAATTATGTTTGTTTGCTTCATTGTACCTATTTTGGGCCCCTTTGTGTTTCCCTTTATCTTCAGTTAAGTCATTTATTGTAAGTTTATATAAAACTAAAACGTAACTGTCGGTGTCAAACAAAGATTCACACGCAGAGACCCGAGTACGAGCCTCTGAGATCTTTTTCACGTCCCGGCTTTCTCCTCCTTGTTTTTCCTCTGTGCCTCTTTCCCACGTCTGGCTCAAAGCCAGGCTCTGGCCTCTCCCCAAACATTCATCCAGTCTGTTCCCATCGGCTCATCGGGGCAGGAAGCAGACGACAGAGCGGGGAAGTGACCTGTCCTCAGCTCTCCGTCTCACCCTCTTCCCTCCCCTTTATACCTGAGCCGACGGGAGAGGTGAAGAGTTCACAAAGCGTCTTTGAGAGGTCCAGATTGAGCTAGAAAATGCTCTAGTTTTTCTTTAAATGTGGGATGTGTGGGAAAGTATGAGATTTGCTTTAAAAAAAAGGGGGGGGGGGAAAGAAAATTGAGTTCAGAAAAATGTTTTGTTAGACTATCTAGAACACTAAAAATGTAAGTCTAAATATGTTTTTACAATGATTTATCTGTTTCTTAATATCATTGTCACAACTTCAGTTTTTTTTTTTTACAAACAGAATACAGGTGTCAAAGGTCATGAGCTGTGCTTTTATTGACACATCTTGAAAATAGACCTAATCTTAGTTTTATTGTTTCATTATTAGTGGAGATAATTCACTAATATAATAATTCACTAGGTTTTTTTGTTTTTTTTTCTTAAACGTCCAGAGGGTTGTAAAATCTGTGTTGGATCCCTGTTTAATTAAATCAACACATCAGACGGCGACTAAAACATCGATAAAATGAAATAAATCAGAAGTGTTTGTTAAATGGTTCAGTCTCTAAAGAAAAACCTTAGTTGTTCTCCGTTTCCTTGAACAAAATAACAGCAGGAATTTATTTCCATCTCTTTAAAACAGTCAATCTGTCATTCCTGGTCAAATGAAATCCATTCATTATGCCTTCTCATGCTTTTAAAATGAATAATTGCATTTCTTATGTGCGTCGTGCTCTGTCCTCAGCTACGGGAGTCGACCGAGAAGTACGAGGAGTTTTACCGGCAGCGGCTGCGTGTGCAGCAGCACCTGGAGCAGAAGCAACAGCAGAGGCAGATGTACCAGCAGATGCTGCTGGAGGGAGGCGTGCAGCAGGACCCTCCGCCCAGCGACATGCAGCACAGCCTCACCGAGAAGTTCCTGAACAGGTACGGACACAGCAGGACCTTCAGCTTCTTGTATTTTACATGAGAATTACGTATTTCACATGACATATGTGGTAACGTCTTGATATCATCGTCAAAATGTAGATCTGTAACATATTTGTTCATGTTGATTTAAATGTTGCTCTCTATAAAAGCGTCTGTTTTCAAGGACAACGTTCAAATCCCCTTCATAAATGATGATTGTCATAATTTAATTAGAAAATTATAATTCAGTTGAAAATTGTGTATTTGTCTCATTGATTGGACAGTAGTGTATTTACACTGTAGGTGCGTCCTGGTGAATCATCACAGACAAGAGAGCACCTTTAATTTTATAATCGTCACGTCTTTTATGAAATAGCCAGATGCGACTAAGCCACTTTTATTTGTATTTTGTTATCCCTGTTAAATCAGGTAGCATTTGATGACAATAAAATACAAAGAGAGGAAAAAATATGGTATGTGCAAATGAGCATGCGATAACATGGCGGAGGGAGCATCATGCTGTGGGGTTGAATTTTTTTCTTCAGCAGTGATGGGGAAGCTAGTTTGAATTAAAACGATAAACAGGACAATCTTGGAAGAAAAGCATGAGAAGCTGCGAAAAACATGAGCCTGGGGTTAAAGGTTCACCTTCCAGCATGAACACGCAACCAGACTTGTACTAGAATTATGGAGTACAGCAAATCATTTTCATATGCTTGAAATTTCCAGGTAATCTCTGCAATGAAATCCAGTCGAGACAGTTTGCAACAAAAACACGATAAACACTTTTGTTTCTCGAAGTATAAAGCTGGTAGAGACATGGACTGGACCCCTGAAGGCTTGCAGCAAATGGTCGATTCAGAGGGGCTGACCACAAACAAAAACAATTTATTTCAGATTTGAATTGTTTTTGTAGAATTAAAAAAAACAAAAAAAAAAAAAAAAAACGTGCATTTCTTTGCTTCCTGTTCACAGCAACTATGTATTCGTTACGAAACGACTACAGTTTGTAAAGGAGCAGGGAAAGACGTCGGCGCTCTTGTTCGAAGCCGTGTTAATTTTTGTATGGTGTTTGTCCAACAAAAGGGGCGCAGCTGTCAGAAAGCATAAAGTTGACGCGTTAAGGTCTTGAAAATAATGGGTCCCACGAGGCCGGCCCTCACGTGGCGCAGCCCCCTCCAGGCTGCGCGGCACCATCTGCCCCCGAGCTGCTGCACCACCTGGGACTCTCACTTTAAGTGTTAAAATCCTGCTTAATAGCAACTATATTTTCACATGCAGAGACTTGAAGGTAATCCGACTCCAGCAGATTTACAGAAAAACAATTATTTAAAAAGAAGAAAGAAAAATGTATCCTTTTTTTTATTATTATTCTCTCAGCAGGACAAAAGCTTTTTGATTTAGTCATCCTCACGGTCCTCCATCTACCATAAATCTCCCAGTCCCTGCTGACTTCTACATTATTCAGAGGGATGACGGTGCTTATAATAAAATCCTTTATTCTTTTGTCTTCTTATTTCTTGTTTTTACTTGATATTGCTGCCGTGTCAGCCTGTACAACAAAGTAAAAATTAAATAAACCTCCCCCTTTATTTCCAAAAACAAAAGTAAAACTGAAATAAATGTGCTGTGAGAAGAACAAGCTGCGATGTGCCTTTGCTCTTGCAGGTCCATTCAGAAGCTGGAGGAGCTCAATGTGGGAATGGAGAACCTGGGAGACGAGGTGAAATCTCTGACCCAGCAGTGCAACGGGAACGGGAACACGCCTGCCTCCGAGGACAACAACAACCCGCCATCTGTGACCCCGGAGCAGAACCGGAGCCGCGGGGGAGGGGTGGTGAGCAGCACCCCGCAGCGCAGCGTAGGGGGCCGGGTCGTCCCGCCTCCAAATGAGTCCCCTGTGCTCTCAGGGTTGGTGGGATTTATTTAGCTTTCCCACTCGCACGCCTTCGTTTAATGAGTGTTTCTGAGGTGGTGGTGTTTTTTTTTTTGTTTTTTTGACAGTGGACAGAAACCGAAAGGTCAACCGAGCGACTCGCCTGGCTCTTTAACCCGGAGCAAAGAGGTGGGGATGCACCAGAAACACTCTCAGCAAAAAATAAAATAGTAACACCTACAGGAAGCCACTGCTGCTGGGGTTGTTACCCCCAAGTGCCATAAAGTGTTTAATTATTTAACCTGAGATGTTGCTGGGGTTTTTTTTCAGGGCGATAAAACAAATGACCTGTTTGTACCAGTGCACAGTTTGGAGGACACTCAGGCCGTCCGAGCTGTTGCCTTTCACCCGTCTGGCGCTCTCTACGCCGTGGGATCCAACTCCAAAACACTGCGAGTGTGCGCCTATCCAGAAAAACTCAACTCGAGGTAGCACACCGCACTTTGAAACGGAGCGGATCTGGAAGTTCCTCCAGATGCGCACAATGCTGTGAAATGACCTTTTACTCACAAGCCGACTTCATCTGTGCTCTTTCATGTTTTACACATATAATTTAATTGGGACTAAAATTCTGACATGGGGGGGATATTGTTTAAAAATGCTGCCTGTAATTTTGAAATGGAACCTGATAGGTTATTGTAGGAGTGGCATAAAATTAACTGAGTTGATGGTTTTAGATTTAAACTTAGGGAAAAAGCTGTTTAATAAAAAAAATATATATATATTTATAATTTTTAACAGTTTCTCATTGCTGCTCTCTGCTCTGTAGTGTGTCCAGTCCAACGAAGCAGCCGGTTGTTCGCTTCAAGAGGAACAAACACCACAAAGGCTCCATCTACTGCGTGGCCTGGAGTCACTGCGGTCAGCTGCTGGCCACAGGCTCCAACGACAAATATGTCAAAGTCCTGCCGTTCAGCGCAGAGACGTGCAACGCCACAGGTCGAGAGCTCTCCCCGACGTTACGCTACAGCTAGAGTCAACTTTGTTTGATCAAACTCTGATTCGCGTGTCTCTGTTTCTCCAGGGCCGGACTTGGAGTTCAGCATGCATGACGGCACCATCAGAGACCTGGCCTTCATGGAGGGGCCAGAAAGTGGAGGGGCCATCCTGATCAGCGCCGGAGCCGGAGACTGCAACATCTACACTACCGACTGCCAGAGGGGGCAAGGGCTGCACGCGCTCAGTGGACACACAGGTGCCCCAAGGGATTTACCTCTGCACCTCTCCGCATCAGCTTAATCACAAAGGTGTGGAGTCGCAAAGCAAAGGGACTGTGATTATTGTTTTGTTTGATCTGTGCAGGTCACATTTTGTCTCTGTACACCTGGGGAGGCTGGATGATTGCGTCGGGCTCCCAGGATAAGACGGTGCGCTTCTGGGACCTCAGGGTGCCCAGCTGCGTGAGAGTTGTGGGAACTGCTTTCCACGGCTCAGGTCTGCGTTTGTCACTTTGGTGCAAACTGGTGCTTCGTGGAGGAAAGATTCAAAAGTATCAACTGGATTTCACGTCTTCTTCGCTGAACAGGCAGTCCTGTCGCCTCTGTGGCGGTCGATCCGAGCGGCCGTCTCCTAGCAACAGGACAGGAAGACAGCGCCTGCATGCTGTACGACATCAGAGGAGGACGGATCGTCCAGGTGTACCGGCCCCACACGAGCGACGTCCGATCGGTCAGATTTTCCCCCGGAGCGCACTACCTGCTCACCGGTTCCTACGACACAAAGGTCATGGTCACCAACCTTCAAGGTGCGTCTGTAGAGATGGAGCGGACGCATTCTGTCGGTTCAGTGTGGGGGGGGGAAGCGAAGTTGAACGTCTCTGTGTTGCGTTTCTAGGTGACCTGACCAAGCAGCTGCCCCAGACTGTGGTGGGAGAGCACAGCGACAAGGTGATTCAGTGTCGCTGGCACACGCAGGACCTGTCCTTCCTCTCATCGTCCGCCGACCGCACCGTCACTTTGTGGAGACACAACCCCTAACATGAAACTAGACGTAGAAGACGTGCACTAAAACGATGCTTCCCTTCCTTTATGAATAGTCACATCCCTGCTGCGTGCTCACACAAACTGCTAAATCAACCTTTCCTTTCGACTCGTGAACCAAATGGATAAACATCAGAAGCACATGCTGCATGTTCCTTATCATCCTAAGGGTTAAAATATTGGTTTGTTCTCCTTTCAATTCCTGAACCCATGTGAGTCAATTTGTTTTCACTCTGCGCAAACACACACACACACACACACGTTTCCTTCTGCATGTCCTTTTCACCGAGGAGTTGTTGGGGTTTAACGAGATTCGAGTTTTTGTCCCTGATGGTGCCTTCTCAGTCTCCATAACTAAAACAATGCTACGTTCATTTATAGAATTCACTGTAAAGAATTTGTACATTCCTTCTCCTGCGTATCGTTTCCCAACAGCTGCCGTAACGCTGCTATCGTTGAGGTAGAGAAAAACCGATGCAACACGTAATATTTCCGTCAGCCGCAAGCTCCTCGCATCTGGTTCTGCAGATATTGTCGTACTGTCTGAGGTTGTCGCCACCATCGATGTACCCAACGCGTTGCCGCGGCCCAGAATGTGTAAATTAGCTGCCAAGTTGGTTTGATTTGGAATCGGTGTGTTGTTTTTATGTCTTGCAGTGGCTTGCTTGCAACGAAGGACCTTTTTAATATTTCAGCATCGAGGAGATGTACAGTATTCAGATATCGGTTGCACATCCTGTCATTCTTTTGAGCTTAGGTTTGTCTGCTGCTGCTGTTGTGGTGTATTAACAGTAGGTGTCAGTCTTGGTCCAACCATATGCACAATGACATCTGGATGGAAGTGAGGGTGCTTTTAATATTTATTCGAAAACTTTATTTGGGGCATATGCATTGTTTTTATATATATATTTTTTTTCATTAACATCGTCTTGTAGCAGTCAGATTTACTTAAAAATGCATATTTAAGTTTTTTGTTATTCTAGAGTATATTGTTTTCTGAGATGAGGCCAAACTAACAAACATAGATTTATTTATTTCAGTGTTTATGTATGTACAGTTATTTGTTTTTGAAATGCTAGTGGCTCTTAAATTGAGCCTAATTCTTGTTTTTAAAAGTAACTTAAATGAACTGAAGCTTGAGGTCAAGTTACCGGTACATTCAATAAAGTGTCTTTTACAAATAAATAACAGGACTTCTACGGTGATGTTTTTATTTCTTAACTCAAACATTTCATACAAAATAGCAAAGATTCATCGGTTTTTTTTTCTTATTAGATTTTTTTTTATTTTTATTTGAAAGTATTTGGAAACTACCCATATATACAAGCCTCTGTTTTCATACAAATTCATTCACCAATGTGATCTTCAGAAGGTTATTCAGAGACAGCAGTAAACAGAAATGTAAAAAGGTACAATAAATACAAACATAACTGCAGTTGTGTATTGAAAAATACACCAAGATGAAATGAAATTCATTCATAAAGAGCCATTCGAAAAAACAAAAAAAAAGGAGTCCATAAAGCTCCTGCTGAAATTGTTGGTGTGCAAGTTGTGCGAAACAAGTTGATTTCTTCCTTATTCTGTACAATGTTTACAGTGCTTTGTTTCGTCCAAAAGGACAAATGTAATGAGACAAGAGTTGTACTTTGAGTTAGTCATGTCGTAGTTCACAACTTCGTGAGATTAAAAAATATATATATTTTTTTTTGTCCCTTTTTAGTGCTTGGTTTAGTCTGAGCTGGATCTGGCTGCAGAAGGCAACGTGACGCGTTGCTCGTCCATTCGTTTGGCCTGAGAGCGCATGATGAGGCTGAAGAAGTCCTCGTCGGGGACGGTCGGTCCTCGGACCGGGGGTGGGGGAGGGGCGCAACGCTGGTCGTCCAAGCGGGAACCCTGGGGGAGCAGAAGTTTGACATTTTAAGTTTGGGGAGGCACGTCTGCTGGCCAATCAAGCGACGATGTCATGGTAATCAATGGCCGTTAAAAATAAAAATCCAGGAGAGTTCATTCTGATGTCTCCATTTCCGGAGTGACTTAACACTTCAGCACTTTAGACTTTGTGGTAAGCCAGAACTTTGAGTAACAATAAAAGCCCAGAATGAACTTTGAGATCTAAATCACCTGGCATTTGACGAGCATGTCAAAGAAATCCTCATCAGGCTCGGCGTTGTCAGCGTTGGCCATCAGGTGGTTCAACACGGCCTGGTTGCTGCTCTGATTTAGTCTCAGACCTGGCAGGCTTCCCCCAGCGGCCGCCGATTCCTCCAGCCGTCTGCCAGACGATCCTGCTAAGTTCACAGACTCTGAAACGGCTGCAGATTTAAAAAAAACAAAAAAGGATGAATAAACATGAAGCATCACTGAGGATTTTCTAAATTTTGGTCTTCACCGACTACATTGACCCACATTTCCTGATGGTTCTGGGGGGCGAATCCGGCCCGCTGTTTAACGACAACCTGCTGCCTCTGTCCTGAACGGAGCAGCGCTGGTCATCCATGCGGTTGCTCTGGAAACGGCTCAGGAGGTCAAAGAAGCCTTCATCTCCGAGCATTTCAGGAGAGAGTCGCTGGGTTGCAAAGAAAACAAGAAGTTACAAACAGAAAAGAACTGATTGGGTTTGATGATGATGAAACGAATCCTGTGCTGCGTACTTTCTGTGGTCCCTGTGTGGACGTCTGACTTGTGTCCAAGGTGTTGCTGGTGTCCTGGAGGACCTTGGTGGAGCCCCCGATCTTGTACTTCTTCCCCCGCAGGCGGCTGACAAAAAACAGCTTGGAGGAGCTCTTGGCCAGTGACGGTTTGGACTGCTTGGTCAGGATGTCGCTGCTCCACTTCTGACCCTTCAAAACACAACTAAAGTGATTAGCAACATTGAAATGTAGCTGACGGAAGCAAAAACTCGTAGCCAATCGTATTTCTCTCACATTCATCTTGTCCGGTGTGAGCTTCACCAGCTCTAGGTTCTCCATGCTATGTCGTCTGCTCATCCTGGGCTTTGCCCCTGCGAAACGTCAATGTAACATGAACGAAAACAGAAAATGACCTCGATGGACAGTCCAGGATCTTCTGATCGAGATTCTGTAAATATCTTACCTGCAGCAGGCGACTCTCCTAGCATTTTTACCGAATATAAATCCAGCTTAGTTGGTACTAGATGCTGAAGCCAGCAGCTAGTCTGAGACCAAAATGAACTTCTACCTTCTTAAAACGGATCCCCTCTCAAAAAATCGTCACAGCGGTTTATGCAAATGCTAGTCAGACATGTAGGCTGCAGGTTTCATTTGAATTTACTATTTAATTACTCATGAAATAAATATAGGTTGGAGACAGTGAGTTATTAACGATCTTCCTGTGTGAGACATGTGCAAAGGTTCTAGTCACAGCACAGAAGCAACCTGGCGTGGAAGGCATAAACATAAAGCTAGATGAATGCTAATTTGTTGTATTTTATACCGCCTTCCTGTTAACTGAAAAGTGTTTTCAGTTACTCAGGCTGAAAGCACTTTAAGCGCTCTGTTCTCAGTCCACGTTTCATGCGGGGAGAGCGCTCAGCACCTCTATTTCTCACGTAGACAATAATAAACTTCAAAGCGAGTAAAAGCTTGAGGCAGAGCCGACATCCTTTAAAAGGCTCCTGCAAAAACGTTAGCTCATCTCAGACAAATGTCAGCTTCAGCTTCTGGGATCAACTCGTCTGGCCTGAAACTAAACGGAACCAGCTGCAGGTTGGCTATTTACCGCTTATGAACTTTGAACTCCTACACTGTCCCTTTAAGAAACGGAGAACTGTGATTTTCTTTTTTTTTTTTTTTTTGGGGGGGTGGGGGGGGGTTAAGTTGCGAGTTGTTGTCTATCTATTTGTTTTTCTAC